TGAGATTCCTTAAACCTTCCTCTGATGAAAGTAAGACTTTTGCCACGTAATAGAAATAGGAAGTGGAGAGCCAATTTTTTTTTATAGATATTGTGAAACCCTTTCTTTTTTTTTTTTTTTTCCTATCGATACACTGGTGTTACTGCTGGTGCATTGGTCATAGGCAAAGCATCGCGTTAAGGTATAAAATGCATGACACCGTGTTTTAATTAATTGAATTAAATTTTTCTTCTACTGTTTATCAATATACCTATGCAAAAAATTGAAATTCGAAAAAAAAAATCAAGAAGTCATAGTACTTTTTATTATTAAAAAAAAAAAAAAAATTATTTTGCATTATTTTAAACACTATTTTTTTAGCACAGTTAAAATAATTGTTACTATTGATTATATATTTTCACAAAGTGAAAAATGACTTTTCGTCAATTATTTCGTCACGATACTTACCAATTGGCAACATAATCTCAAACAGTTGATGTCCGAGTCGATGAAATGCTACAATCACATTTAAATCATATGTTATATTTTATAACAGAGAAACCTCGTTATAAAATGGCTCGGTAGTTAAATGATAAATATCAGTCGTATTTAACATTAAAATTATTGTCTACATGAATATACACAAAAAAATTATCCTACGATACATCATTAAAGCAAAGTATACATCACAAACAATTTTATTTTAAGTATAATAACTAACAACTAAATTTTTTTTATTAAGTATAGCAAAGAGAAAAAAGTTGATAAAAACGTTGATGTCATAACTGGGCCCTTCACCTTACGCACTTGTTCCGAAGCAATTAAAAAAAAAAAAAAAAAAAACGTATCGACCCTCTAGAAATCACCTCAACACGCAAACTCGAAAACTCCGACGCAATTTTCTTTTAATATCCGTCAAACGCCAAATCACCACCGGAAAGGTTTATACAGACACACGTAGGTATACCCGTCGAGACAGCAACATCAAGGGCAACGCCCATGAATCCGGACACCTACCCAACATCTCGTAAACGTATATATACACTATGCTTCCAGTGTCCGCCAGTGTCCACGTCCATGTGCCTTCTCTTTTCGCACCCCCGTATGTACACATTTTAAGGACCAATGGCTCATATTTCTCCGATACCATTAACCATCAGCACGGATTAGTCGAGGGTAGCACAAGTAGCCTGCACGCGATGCGTGGGAGAGAGAGAACCCTTTGACGGAGGGAAAACTATTATTGGATGCGTGTGGTATAGAAAAAAAAAAAAAAAAAAGAGCTACGACGAAGCGTACATACGGGACGCATCAAAGAGACTCGCACCGGTGAGGGACCTTCCCCCCGCTGGCTTTGTCTCTCCTCCGTGATTTTTCAGACGCACCTTCTTTCTTCTTTTTCGTTGTTTTTTTTTTTTTTTCTTTTGCCCTCTTGATCATCCCGCGGATGCCATTGGGAGTCCATGTTTTGATTTTGGCGTGGTCGTTTTGCCCGGCTGACACGTGTATGATTAAAACTCCGGTACAAAGAGGTACACATTTAAATTTTGCAGGTATAGTCAAACATTTCATCACTTCCATGTGAAAAAACGTAGAAAATTTTTTTGGTTTCTTTCTTATTTATTTCATAAATTGTATAAAATCGAGCAACAAAAAATTAAATTTACAGCGAAGGTACACGAGCTGCGACCGCAACGATAAAAGCGCAGCTCACACACACCCGTCGTATCTCGTGGAACTTCGTCCCAAAAAACAATAACATAATAATCAATTGATAATGTAGTCTCAGTAATTTATTACGCATTTACGAATCCCGCTTGTTTTCACGCGGAAGAGTGGTCCATGGGAGTTGTCATGCAAGTATACACATTTGATCGGTAATTAACTGAGATATCTCAGGTTCAGAATGGGTCAGGTGGTCACGAACCGAGCATGTCTGTTAGTATAATTATAAAATATGCCCAGATTTATGCGGAGAGATAAGAAAAGGAAACGGAAAACAATTTTTTTGGAGACATAAATATTTTTAAAAAAAGAAACAAAAGCAAGATGTCAGAGATCGGTTGTGAAAAGTTCATTGTTACATAAACATACAGTTAGCTGCACGAGTGTATTAATCTCGCGGATTTTTTTCTCCGTACAACAGTAATACATCTTATGTACCGATAAAGGGGGGGGGGGAAATAAAAACCTAACCACCCGATTAATCCCACCCCCAAAGATAATTATTCATTTGCATGGAGTCTCGATGGATGAATGGCACGTGGGTATAACGAAATTTCCACTTCACCTTCATTATTTTGCGTACAACATCAGTATCCGCCAAACTCGTGAACTCACGATTCATCCGTGCATTTACAGGGCGAAATGTTACATTGATACGTATAGTTAGGATCAAAATAGCTCAAACTGTATACATGTACAACGTGAATCGCGTCTGTTGCCTTGTGCACAGCTTTCCCCCAAAATGCATCGTCGAGAGACCGATCCGGGCCCCTATTATACTCTATCGTATACTGCACACTGCATTCCATGTCGTCCCACGGGAGCCAACACCAGCGTCGCACCACGACAATGACGCGCGTACACCCAATCTCTCTCGCAGCAGCTTCCATCACTCGCCACTCATTTTCTCCCAACCCATTGTCGCGTAAATTGTTGTATATTATATGTATATGTATACATATACGGCCTATTATGCCGATGAGTCACGCTTGGGCTTCCTACACCCGTATATGTGTATATATACGTGATGTCAGGACGGCAGGCGCAGGGATAATCGAGGGGATAATGCTACTCCAACCGAGTATAGGCGAGATTTTTCATCGTCACGCAACTTCCATCGAGTTGCGGGGTGAGGTCTCGGGATTTACTTTTTTTTTTTTTTTTCATTTCTTTATCATCGCCAGCGTCAATCTGAAGAGAAAGAGAGAGCGTAATCTGTCTCTCTGCATCTACTTGTCCGCGGAGATGAAATTATACCAGAGCCGGCTTTTCTACGAAACGCGCGCTTGGGAGCGAGTGGAATTTTTTTTTTTCGCTCGGAGCGATTTTTGCGTAACTGCACGTCTGGTTTTCACGAAATCACGTTTTCCCGGAATAATTGGAGAGTACAAAAAAAATAAAGCAAATTGCGAAATATATTTTTTCATACACATCAATAAATATAGCCCCGCGTGGTTTGCTTGCAAAGCAATACCTCTGGCTTGGACGACGATGTTTTTATGGAAAGACTTGTTTATTCATCGGCGATAGAGTGCGAGCAAAGAGGGCGATTGTTCAACAAACACCAGAGACGAGCTATTATTGCGCTCTCGAGGATGATAACTTGAGATATCTCTTGCAGCTACGAAAATAAATTTTAAAAAACAGACGACGACAAAAAGGTGGATAATGAGAATACGGAGGCGATATGGTTGTTCCCGATAATGGCCAATGTATTTTCATCGAGGGAATTATTAATCAACGGCAGGGGCGGGGGAGGGGTACTTTTTCTTGTTTTTTTAATTGATTCCGTTTCACTTTGCCGTATATACCAGTGCTCTGCTTAACTCTGCGATCGTGTACACTCGCGGGGGCCATTATCTTAATTGAAGTTCGGTGCAGAGACGACCAATAATTAGCGTTCATCGAAACTTGCTCCTTGGCTTTGCGAAAAGTGATCTGGGGTATTTTTGTGATTTCACATTATTAATTTTCTGCAGCGATTCTGTGGAGTCGTTTCGTGCAGCTCTGAAATGTAGAGTTTTTTTTTTTTTTTTTTGACACAGAGCAATTTTATGTGTGCATTTTTATCTCTTTTTTGCTGTCAATAAAGACTCAAAGGAGATGGAAATGTCTGTTGATCCAAATTAATTAGGATTTATTTATTTCGCGTATGATTTTTCCACTGCTGGCCGATTTCGCTGAAAAAGTTAGAGGAAAAAACAAGAAAAGTTAATTTTTCAAAATGTATTACATTACACAGTTGTACAAGAGGTATAAAAATAAAATAGCCAATTCTGACAGTATATATGGCATTGATTGAAAAAAAAAACAAAAAAAAAACAAAAGAAATTATTTCATATACACATCGACGTTTCCATTTATTCTTTAGTCATTATGTTTAACTAAAGTCTACTTTCGTTTCCATTGGATTAATCAGCCGTATCCGGTGTACTGTTTTATCAAGTTATTGGTGAGATGATGGTATATACCTCGGTTTATACGTCATGTATACACGTACACCGACACGTGACCACTTCCTTTTGCACCACGTAACGCAACACCGTGATACCAATGTTGTTTTTTGATCTCTTGACTAGTTTGGACTGGTAAAAGATGTTACATTGCCCACGAGCGTGCACTCGATTGAAGTTATTATTATTATTTATTATTATTATTATTACCATTATTATTACCACGTTAATTATTATCATCGTCATNTTATTATTATTATTATTATATCTGCTCTAGACTCTTTTTTTTGCTTTGGTTTTGGACGCTCACGCGAGGAAAAATTACATTTTAACATATATCCATACATTGCGAACCGTGTAACGGAAAATGTTTCGCGAACCCATTGAATTTCAAACCAATTTAAAAAAAATATGTACCACGATACCCTGTGGAAGCAAATGGAATGACTTTGAAATTGCAACGATTGATGTTCATTCAAAAGCGAAAAAAAAAAACAACTCACCGCAAATGCTTTTTCAAACGTTACAGCAATAATTATACCCCCGAACGTATTCGAAACACGACGCGAATGTTTAATAACACTTTTCGTCAATATGATATTTCAATGCATCGCTGTGACAATCCCAAAAAGTTTATGAAACGCCCCTGGAGTATTTCAACGACTGTGTCTGTGCACGTTTATGCAAGTGCGAGATAAATATTATAAAATGTTGATTCGACGTGACATGCGTATAGGGTAGTTTTATGAAAAATTGTGTCTATGATTAAGATTGAAAAGATTGATCCTATCGATGCGAATAACGAGCCAAACTGATGATGGCACTTTCGGGCCTTGGTTTCAGGTGAACGCACTGAACGACTCGCACCAGCAGCTGATGGTCCACTGGGTGGGCGAGGGCTCGGACGTGATCATTTGCCTGGCGCGGGACAGCAACCCCCTGCCCCGGGCGTACGCGGTCCAGCCGCCGGCTGTGATCAACCCGAGCGCCGTGTACATAAGCTACGACTACGGTGACACCTTCGAGAACAAGACCGAGAGCTTCAGGGTCTCGGACGAGCCGAACGCGGCCTACGCGACCCTCGACAAGTTCTACAATCATCCGACCCACAACAATTTCGTGAGTATACCTATATACATCGTGTACCCCATACATCGCTACTGTTTTCTTTGGAAGACCCATTTCTCGTTTGGTTTTCTTACTTATAGCGAGTAACTCATGCAAAGGGTATTCGTCCCGAATATACTCGAACAGATAACGTATTTTTTTTACAATTTTCTTTAATGCAACCAGTACAGTTTCATTCGGAAGCTTTTTTCCAAGTCCAAGTATAGGTTATCCCTCTTATAATAGAAAATGGTATATTTTCCATATAATTACAATTTTGGCTTTTAAAAGGCTTGTACCAAATATTTTTAACATCACGTCACCCTTGGGAAGGGGGCATCTTTGATTAGCTCGTACGAGTATAGTCATTTCATTTCATCATTTTTTATTGCATTGAATAGGGTGTCCACCATTTTTGCTTCAAAAAAAGCCTTAGTGTTGAAAATTTCATTTTTTTAAAACAAAAATAAAGGTTGAATAATCAAATAATTGGGTATAAAAATTCATAAAAACACGAAAAATATTTATTAATTAACTATTTTAAGTTATTGCAAGGTGACTTTTTTTATGATTTTTTTTTTTTCCTTTTGATTAAAGGATGCAGCCGGATAAGGTAATAAAAATAGCTCTTGGATAAGTTTTGATTAAAGTATTTTTAATTTATTCGATGAAGTAAAGCTTCTCCACGAATTTTAAATTATTGAACCTCAAAGGATTACGAGCAGGTAATTTTTATAAACGTGAAAAAATAATTGGGTACATAATTAATAACTTTTAAATGGTACTGAAACTTTTAAAGATTTTTCTTACTTCAAAAATATTATCTTCCAAGACCCAAAAACTTGCCAAAAAAAAAAAAAAAAAAAAA